TTCCATTTAAACGTTTAAGACGAGGAGGCCTTTGATATAGTGGTATCTTTATTCATCAATATGTGATGATTCGCCGAAGCGTAATAACTTTGGCCCCATTTCTCTAATATCCCACAGTTTTACCATTTTTAAATAAATGAGGCTTCATTTACGTAACATGTCTCGATTTTTATCTATTTCCCATTACTTCCTCCACTTAAAGAACAAGATAAAATTCCTCCTGTAGTAATTAAAGTTGGTTACAAAAAGAATTCCTTACATGATTTTGTAATCCAGAAAAAAACATGTCATCAAAACTAGCGAGTCATTCGCCCCTACCTCTTTTCAGCACACACAGCCCAACCTACAGAAGCAGGTGATTTGCTTGCAGGCCTGGGGATATTTGCATGCCAAGATGTTTTCATTATATTCGATGAAGGACTCAAATACCATGAATGCCCAATGACTTGATCGAGAAACCACGTATAGGATTCAAAGCTATTTCCCTTCGAAAACCCACTTCTCTCCCTGGTCGGGCAGCAGTTGTTTTTGTTTCCCCGTGCATACGCTCCAGGACCCAAACTACATTCCAAGTACACGTGAAGCATTTGACTCGAATCATTATTATCTCTCATACACCCTGTTACCGTCAGGTTTACCTTGTCAGCGGTGCTTAGAGAGGGTCATTCACATCACTGCGATAGGCTAAGCAACAAGGCGGTCGACTCAACTTGTTCTTCTCCCATCGTTCACTCTAAATCTGCGATCTTGACTGATTTTCTGTGGGGCTATTACGGTCAGACTTCTCGGTTTTGCAGACTCGTCCCAAACAACTTGCAGGTGGATTTCGATTGTGAAAATTACTAAAAGTGGGAGAAGGGCTCGGTTGTTCAGTTGCGGCGTATGAGTCCCGAGCTTTACGAGGGCCGCAGAGACTTCCAAACTTGAAAGAGCTTTAGGCGTAATGTACACAAGAACGATCTGTAAAAGAGGTTGTTTGAGGACTGATGTCTCTCTTCCAACAATTTTTTTTATCCAAATGTCCAATTACACTTATTTCGGCTAGATAAAGGCAATTAACTAAATGAATTGGCGTCAAGGGGGAAATTGCTGGCTTGGATTCAAGTAGAATTTCCCCGTTTATGTCAGCAAGATTCAAACTTCATTTCATTCAGTATATAAAGCATCCCCAAACAATTATACGTCTGGTGCTCGTTTCAGTTTTGTAATGGCATTGCAGACTGAGTGATTTATTCCCATGTTTAATCAAATATTATCATCGCAAGGAAGACAGCATCAAAATTTTCAAAGGCAAAATAAAAAGAGTTTTGATTGATTCCAAATCGGAAAAGACCTTTTTTTTATTCAAAGTTATGCACGTAAATAGTATCTTTTAAATGAGATATTCATGTCAACGTGTTTCGCTTCATAGCAGTTTCAATCGCCACCCTATCGTTGCTGTTACAATTAGTGTAACCTGTAATGCATGCGTTCCCACTATAAAGTCAGAACACATTCAAGTCAAAATTTTTGTTTCAGGAAATAAAAATCTTATTTACTTTTTTAGAAGTGTTTTTCTATCGAAATGTTGTAAATAAAGCGATCGTTCCGTGCCATTCAACACTCATTAGAGGCTCTTGGTTCATGTTGTCTGGTGCGCGCTCAAGATGCATTACCTCCGTGGTTCTGAACAGCGTCTGACGCGGGTAAATCTGCGTGAATGATAAGGAATCTCATTCATCGCTGAAAGCAGGATGTGTGGAGAGGGTTTCATGACCGCTCTGTATTGACTTGTTTATCGCGGTTATGTCCCATGATAGATTGCTCGATTACGGTCGTGCCTTGGTCACCATTCGCTTAGTATAGTCCCTTGACACGAGACAACACAATTGGCTCCCTTTCTTCACAGTTCCTGCCTTCATTTTTTGAGGGGGATGCCAAGGACTGGATAATTTTGTTGGCTGCCTTACTTTTCGGAGAGACTAGAACGGGTGCAATAGAGACGTGGATGATTGAGATGTGCACAAGACTAGTGTGCACTTTATCTAACTTAGGCATAAGCTGCAAAAGCCCAAAATCCCTTGAAAAACAGTGGCCTTTCAGTTGTTGTGGCTTTCTACTTACTGCTCCAACTAAAATGTATCTAGGTCATTCTATAAGTGTGGGGTTCGACGTGTGACATTTTCCCGTCCTTGTTACACCTGACATGTATACGTTGAGAAAGGATATCTCACGGAAATTGATTTCTATTAGTTTATCAGGTAGTTTGCAGTATTTATCCAACCTTGGAAAGTTAAGAATGAGTTCTGAACATTAAAAAAATACGTCAGACGTAACAGGGACAGGAAAAAATTGGACCCCAAATTTACAGAATGACCCATCCCGAAAAAGCGAACGTATTGCTGATGAATTAATGCGGCGAGCTCCTTTAAATCTTGTTTCGAGCGTTGCATGTTGGCATTGATGACGCTCTGTGAAAGTAACTGGGTGACGTCTTTTGGGAGACCCTTGATGACCAATGAAATTTAAGGGTGTGAAACATCCCCAAAAAGAATGTTCGTTCTTCTTCACAAGAATAAATCTAAATTTATTTTCAACCTTATCTGTAACCTTGAAGGTTTTCCTGTCTCACACAATCATTTCTTTATATCTCTCCCCCATTATAAACCTTCCCATTTGTGTTGAGAAAAAAAAAGCTGTGCGAGGACTTAACGTTGTCATGACAGTGTTGTCGACGTATTGGTACTCCTCAGAACTTTAAATTTCTTACCGTTTCCCATCTATTTGTTTTGTCTGGCTGGCGAGGTATAGTGCATGTTGGCGTTTTTGAGGAATCCTTGGGTTTTATTACCAGAATAAATCAGTAACAATAATCATTAGTAGTAATCAAAGCACAACCGGTTTGCCAAATTCTACCCTGCACTAAAAGCCCTTGTGCAACGTGGTTTATGACGTCCAAAATTCTACTGTCACCTTTAATAAATAATGTGCGTATTTGAAGGCTGTGAACACCATCAGCTCATAAATTAACAATTTCCTTTACCAAAATTTATTCACTCATTCGTGTGTCTTTCAAATTCCAGGAGATGTGGCATTTAAAAAGCTTTCTAGGTGCTGTATTTTTAGACTTTAACTTTGATGTTACTCCTCACCAAAGTATTCACCGTACCCATATTGCCTGCCATTATGAGCGACCAAAGTGTATCTAATCCTCCACCTTTGGTTGGTTTCAGAGTTTACCATAAATTGTACCTTTGCCCCATTACCTTAAGGGTCGTGTTTTCATTTAGCATTATGTTCATTTGCTGGTAGTGCTTTTTTGTTTGGCTGTTTAATAGCTATACGAGAGATTTTGAACGCTCATTTGCTTTTTGGAGGTAGTGCTTTTTTGTTTGAGTGTTTGATACCTATACGAGAAATTTTGAACGCTCATTTGCTTTTTGTGTAACCAGGCCAGGCTTAGATTATCAGCCCGTTAGGAAAAATTTGTACGACTGTAATGTAGAAAGGGAAGACCTTATATTCCCTCCGGATATAGTTCGTTGCTGTTATTTCTTGCCTGACTGACTCTATGAATAATTGACCGATAGAGGAATCCCTGACGATTGAGTATCTAAACCAGACTCTGCCTGTTTGACAAGTGACTGCCCAGATCCGCAGTTTAAGCAAACAAATTTCTGGGTCAAACTGGAATGGCTTACAGATTCGTTCTTACTTGTCAGCAGATTGTTGAATAAAATCAAGGGTTCTAAACAGTGTCATTCTCATGAATTTTCCTGGGATTTAATCAAAGCTTATGATTTATCATTTATTTTCAGTTCGGTTTTCAAAACCTGGATCATTCGCAAGTGTATCTCAAACAGCACTTTTAATTCATTTTACTGTATGTACCCGAAAACTTCCCGGAGTTGCCTTTTGACATAAGCTCAAACGCAAATCGCTGTAAGGTGGCGATCCTTTTGTCGACTGTAAACCTAAAAATGGCCTTCCCCGTGGCAACCTCTTGGTGTCACACTGTGTTGTAAATCACGCCCACCCCCACCCCACCCCCACCCCGTGCTGAAACCGAGGTAAACTTAATTTCAAGATCTTGGGAGTAGACTTGAAATCAATAAAATAAATTTCATAACCACGGTTTATGATTAAATAGACCTTCACGTTTTATTTCACACTTTATAAACAATTTGAAGGAAGGCTTTGAAGTTCTCCAGAATTGAGATAATACAACATGTTATGTGACATTTCACACTTTTAAACACAGATTCAGGAACAGCGATCAAAATGGCTTTCTTGAAAGATCAACGGCTGAATGAAGGATTTATGATTTAAGATGTTCTATAAAATACTTTTGAATGTTTCCCTCTCTTAGCTTTAAATATGAACATTTTTTGAGGATCAAGACTGACTAACGTTTTGGGAACTGTTGTTTATTCAGTATTACATGTTAGCAACCTTTACACAACCTTTAACCTGGGTTAGCAACCTTTACACAACCGTCCTGTATATAGGGGAGTTTGGAAACAAAGTTTGACATGGGAAAGGAAAAGTCATCTTTCACGTGTTCCGGTTGGGGGAGCGAGTGTGGATCGTGAGAAATGTGGATCAATTTGTAAAGTGACCAGGATGATTTTAAAGCTGCAAGGTATTAAAACAATTGTTTTCTGGCAAAAAAAACCTCCTCAATCCGCTTTCAAATATATATAGCAAACAATATTGTGCTGAAGGGTGCATACCGTGCGAAAAACCAAAACAAGATCTAATGGTATTTTTTGCACGATGCAAATTTCAGAAAATGGTGGCGAGAGAATTATCAGCCTACCTGTTTGTAAACCCGTCTCTCGGGTCATTTGCCCCTCGGACAGCCCATAGAGATCCGGAAATCAGTGCTTTTCCTCAGCGGACTTGAAAGCCTTTGGGAAACCACGAAATCATTGTTATTCGGATGACATGACGGAAATTGCGGGAGAACAAGATTAGGGGGGCGTTTTCGATATTAACTCGATGATTTTTTTTTTAATCAGAAGCTGACAAAACAACGGAGGCAGTTCCTGCTGCGAACAGGGTACTCGACAGCCTCAAGCCGCGCCAGTGTCACGTCTGCTGGGATTCGGTAAGCGGGAGAACCTCGTTACTGGGCAATGCTGTAGTTCGTCGTCTTCGCTGTCGACAAACCGTGGGCGAATGGTTTCGATTGAACAAGGGGTGACATTTTTTCTATGGTCGTTATCACTTGGGTTTTTACGACACAATTGCATCAGTGGTGAGTGGATCGGTACTTATTCAATACTTCAGTCGGCCATTACACAGACGCGACTCTTTAGTAACCCTCTGCCCAATGTGATTAATGAAATCATGGAATCTCATACCGTCAAGCTCTCCAATCAGTCCGGAGTATTGATGTCTTTTCGTGTGATTCCCAATCCCTTGCAGATCCTCAATCAAAATCATTTATTGAAAGGTGTTTGCAGTTAATAAAGCCAAAAGGAGACACCGACCGTCTCTTTCATTTCATCTGCAGTTTTCTTATTTCAAAAAAAAAACGAAAATTCGGTAATTGGCCATAATGCATTGCCAGCTAATAGAGGAAGGTTGCCGGTGCAATTTCCGTTTTATTACGGCCGTCGCACCCCTCAGTCCTTTAAGCAGAACGATGCATCACCGGCGGGTTTCTCAGTCACAAAAGGCCACCACAGAAGCGCCGATTCAGACTTTCATTCCGGTAGACTGTCGACTAAAGCGGTTGCCGGTACGACATGGACCGGGGAGGGGACAAAATTAGTCATCATTGGCGCAGTACCAATATCGTTGTCATCACGGAGTTTCCTCTGGCACAAGTCCACGTTTTTAACATACCTGCCAATTATTAAACGTATCCGTCCGATTCCAGTGATACGTTCGCTTGAAAACTCAGTTCTCAACCACACGATTGTCTCTTTGCTTGTCGATTTGGAGACATCATTCAGCAGAAGTATAATGTAAGCAGACCGTTTCGAGTGTGTACTTTAACATAAAATACAGTTACATGATAAAAAAGAATCAATTACATTCGTCCCATAACACATCCAACAGTGTTTCCTCAAGGTATTTTAAATCGTGGAATAACCCGTAGCCCGTTTTACAATTACCAATTTGAGCAAATTTAGAACATTTCACGGATATAAAATATCTACTAGTACTCGACACCTCTCTGAACAATCACGTATTATTCTCTATCTAGGTCTAAGTGGACAAAGAATATATTCCGTAAACTACAAAGAGCATTTTAAACGCCAACTGCAAGCTGATCCGGGGCGATTAAATTCCCTTTGGCGAACTGAAGTTTCAGGAACTCTGACATTTTCGATTCAATCACTCTGACAATTTCTTTTCTCCTTGTTTTTGGTTTCACTTTCAGGTTCGTTCGTCCATGCTGTCTCTCAGAAAATGCTGCCAACACACGTCATGACCTTTTACATCGTTCGTTTGATGGAGCGGTAAGTTAAACGGAGTAGCTTTGCTCTGCTTGGTTCTTTTTTAATCGGTGTATTTAATAAGAAAACCACCATTACATGATTGATTGATTCCTTCGTCACCAACGTGTTTTAATAACATGTATGTGAATTATTGATTCTCTAAGAAACAATTATCAGGCTGATTTTCCCTGCAAGGAATCCCCAGTGAGACTGCGTTTGATAGCATCTGCCTTCCTTTATTGCATCTCTGTTTGAATAATGCAGTATCACGATGTAAAAATTGACGAGTCGTGATAAATAATAAATACCGTTTAACGGTTGAAAAAAATCATACAGGCTTTTAAGCGAGCATGGCTGATGTTCTTGACCCGTACGGTATACCCTATGCCATAAGTGCACGAAGTGTGGCGCCCTCTGCAAATGTTGCGCAAAGTGCACGAATTTGAATTAGGACATTGGCTGGATTAACAGACTGCCGTGTTCTCGTTTGTCTTGACGTAGGTGGTGGTTGAGCTTTATTAGATAACTATGTGCCCCGTGCAGTAGTCGTTACACGCTGTCGCCCTTGATTAGAGAAACCTGTAATCGCATTTTCAGCAGTAATCTTTCAGTCAAAACCTTACTAAGGTCTTGAGATTTGATTGCTTAACAAGATGTGAATTAAGCTCCGATAGCCTGGCAAAGGCAAATCTATAAGTTCGGTAGGGATTCTATCTAATGATACCTGTGTGGAATCTGAGCTCAAGGATCTTAGTGCAAATCGAAGCCTTTCCGCAATTCTTTCCACATGAACGGACGAGCGTCTCTTGCCAAGCTTGTCCCTGCAGCTGGACTTGAAAGATTAACACACGTTAGCATGAATCGGCGACGAGCTAGAAGAGGCGGTATATACGGGCCTTAGAATGATTATGAACGCGTGGATGTATCACACGATCCGAATAGCCACAGCGGTTAATGAACGAGCCATATTATGCAAAGCGCCAATATTCGGACCGTGCAAGTATAAGAAGATATCGTATTATGTGGTATGAGTGCCACGCTATTATGCGAGGCTCAAGTCGATTACACGTTGAAGTGAGCGTATTCTTCCTTTAATAAAACCAAACCTCAAGGCCGCAAACTTCGGCAGTAATTTAAATAACTTTTACAGATTGTTCTTTTCTGACAGGAAACCGACTGAAAAATTGGACAAAAGAAGACCCTGTGTGATTTGAACCACAGATATCCAAGTTGTAGGCTTTTCCTTACCTACTACACTCCGCAAGCCAGCTGACCAAACTCTTCTTTTTCCTCCTTTTATACCCACAATCCAACATGCGCTGATACTATCAACACGCCAACAAGCATCCCAAGGGGTAGCATTTTCGCTACGGTCTATTGACACTGTCGGGTATATTCGGATCGGATAAAATTCAAACTTCTGCCGCTCGTGTACAGTCAGTTTATGAATTGTAAGTTTTCACTAAACATAAATGACATTCGTTTCAAGAATGTCACTTTGAAACCTAGTTTTATTATCACGTGTTCATTAACGATTTAGCACGGAGGCAAATTAGAGCCGTCAGTTGTTCGATGGGATTCAGTTAACTTTTTTCACTTAAGGTAGACGTTTGTTGATTGGTGTGTCAAAATGCTGATGGCATGAATTAAGCACAAAATCTGCTCGCACAGACATCCGCCGCGTGCGATTGCCGGTTCCCTTGACATTTTAAAATCGAGCCAATAACCAATTACAAAATCTACCAGAAGAACCAAAACGAAAACTTATTTTTACCCTTTTGTGCCTCTCTGCAAGCCTTTTCTTTCCCGCGATATATATTTTACTTCTTTCTTTAAAGTCGGATTGAACCGAGTAATGACTGGGAGAGAGGCGGATTATGACGACCAGGTAGCTTCATACGAGTGATTGAGTCAATCTTTCACTGCAGCCACATTGGCCTCAAGCTAAAGGAGTTTTTATCCTAACCGTTTTCTGTCTCCAGCATGGCTCATACACCACTCAATCGGGCTATTAACCGGGGGTTAACCCTCAGAAAAGATGAATGCTTTTAAATAATTGAGGGTGGAGAGCCACCGCTCATTAAATAATTCAAGTTGTCCTTGTTGATAGCTAAATAAAAAAATAAAAGAGGACAACAAGTTTGACATTTTTTGTTAAAGTTTTACAGTGGCGTTGAATATGGCTGGATGAGATCATAGCTGCTTTTTTTTGATGAGTGGGGGATTAGTTTCCAAAATCACATTCTCAGGTTTGATATACTCTCGATGGATTATGAAAAGAACCAATGTAAAGCAGTTTGATGTAGGCCTACTGTAAAAGTGGATGCGTGATCCTCAAACATCTTTGCAAGTCTTTCTCCCTTCTGACGACTTGCTTCGCTTCCGGAGATCCCTCCGCTGAGGAGCGGCTGGGCGCATCGGGGAATAACGGCACTAACAATTGTTGTACACACCTCGCTGGCCACTTTGGTGCAAGACATGGCGTATATCGCGGCCTGGGGTGGCACGTATCAGCTGTTTCATTTAAACCTTGGAGATGACAAACAACATGACCCTGTCAGAGTGCACTCTCGCATTTTTCTTCCTTGGCACCACATAGGATGCAGCCCGTTAGCATTTCCAGCGAAGACAATCGCCAAACCAAGGCGTATTTTCATCATCGCGTCCCACACATTCATCATCCGATCTTGACAGTTTGGGGAATCACGGCTCAATGGACTGCGAGATATCATATTGCATTCAACTCTCCAGTTAGGAAAATATTCTTCGAGTTTGAAGTCAATACGGGCGATTCACAATAGTGCACGTTCAAGAGTTTGCAACGCGTTGACCAATCACAGTGCGACAAATCTGATGACCCAGTGAACGTTTGAAAAGTTTCGACATATTTCGCGTGTTGTGATTGGCCAACGCGTTGCAAACTCTTGGAGGTGGACTATTGTGAATCGGCCCGCAGAATCTCGTGCCAATATACCCGAGACCAAAACCTGCAATTCGTGATATTTCTTCTGAAGTAGCTACGTTGTTGCGCCGGGATTTTTTCTATCGTTTGGCATTCTTTGCGAGAGAATCTGAAAATTATCGATGGATTCTCAAACAAGTCTACGTCAACAAAAGGCTGGCATTCCATTGATTGGGGCACACAAAATTTTACACATGGGAAAGAAAATTGTGGGGGGGAGGCAAAATATCCTGGCGAAATGGACGTTTGTTTTTCCATCTGCTTTTTGTTTGTGCGCGCAGAGGTTCATACCGTGTAGACTTGCCGTTCAGCTACTCATCTCTTCTGTCAACACGAACGTATTTCCTTTCATTTGGTGTTGAGGTATTTGGAAAAAGGGAACACACATAGACTCGACAGTTATCTCCAATGTAATGTGCCCTCCAGCTTGATAGCAAAAACGTTTGATTTAGCAGCGCGAATGCGGCTTCGTGCGCGATGCTTCGGTGTCCTACATCTTATCAGTGCATCAAATCAAATCGCGCCGCATCTTTAAATGCATTTTGCATGAACCAGAAATCTATACGCGATATCAAGCGCAAAGGTGCCATTACCCGTGTTGACACACACAAGTGTCGTGTGTTTTTAAGGGGCTTAATTCGGCAACACGACCTGGCAGCAATATCTTGTGTTGGCGACCTGAACGCAGAGCAGGCCGTTGATGAGGTAAGGGAGAATCCATTCACCGTTTCAAGGGTGGGATGACATCACAGTTTTGCACATGAATATGGAATATTCATTTTGGCGTAAAAACCAAAGACACTAAAATACCCTTTCAAACAGTGAAACAAAAGTTGAAAATAAGGTTAACTGAGACGCAAAGATGCATTTGAAGGTTTGTGTTAAACAAACTGATCACAGGTACCTTTTACGAATTTTGTACGTAATGTTCAGCCTCTAACCATTTTTAGAGGAAGCGTGCACATATTATGAGCATGTTTATAACCCCTTTTATATCTCGCGAAATTCCCTTAATTTGTACTGATAAACAAGCAACTTTAAACAAGCAATAGAGTTTCTGTATAGTTTGTTCTACGTGATTCTGCAGTGATGAAGTGCACTCTCCAATAGCTCTGAGAGTTGAGTGTTGTATCAATGGAAAGATTAAGTTTGGCACTGAAGTGTTAATTCGTCTCATCTCTTTAGTAGGGCACAGTCAGAGCCAGTTAGAAATTGAGCCTAATCAAATACGTTATGAGCAACGGACGCATGTTACCAGTGTTGAAGGAATTATAAGCGCCAGCATTTTAGAAGTGGCACTATGGTGGTGGTAAATGAGGATTCTTTAACGGATGAAAAAAAATCTAGTCAGTCAGCTTTGTAAAAATCTCGATTGTGCACCCCTCAGCCCAATACCCTGATACTCCACTAGGTGTAAGCAAACACGCGCTAGAGGAGTGCATCTAATCCTTTTGCAATATAGACACTCAGTCTTCGAGCGATGTCCCTATATATAGCCTGCATTGCGGCCAGCCCTCGAAAGCTGGCACATGGGGGCGTGTTTTTTTTTTGCTGACCCAGGGAAACTAATTCCGCTTGAAATTAAAGGGGGGCCAAATTGACGACCGCCTCGCTCGGCCTCTCCTGTCGGGGATCTCTCCAACTGCTCAGACTGAAGATCTCCCAGTTAGTGCTAGTCATTTCCATTCGGTGCAACCACTCGAAAGACCTCTTGGATTCCCATTGACCCGAGAGCTCGCCTCTAAAAAGCAAAACACTTCCTACTTCAGCTACTCAGGTGTTTTTGGTGATAAATGCAACTAAGGGACATATATGCAGAGTCCATGGTTTACTTTTGCGTTTGGTTCTTTCTTTGTTTCGCGTTGTTTTGGGTTTGGTTGTTTTGTGTATTTGCTTTCTTTTGGCGCGGGCTGCTGATGTGTTGCACGGGAGATGAGCTAGCCGGGAGTACACCGCTCATCGAACAAGGACTTCTTGTACACTATTGATTAATGTGTTTACGACCACGTCAGGTCCTAATGTGTCCCAAATGGATCAAACTTTCAGATATACATGTATT